GTGATGTTGCATTCACGGTTGGAGAGCGAGTCTTGCTCCGGGTTTCACCCATGAAGGGTGTGATGAGGTTCAGGAAGAAGGGCAAGTTGAGCCCTAGGTATATCGGACCTTTTGAGATCCTTGATAGGATTGGTGAGGTGGCCAACAAGCTTGCATTGCCACCTAGTTTATCTGTAGTTCATTCGGTGTTCCATGTTTCTATGTTTCAGAAGTATTATGGTTACTTCAGCATAGCCCAATTGGACGAGGATTTGACTTATATTGAGGAGCCGGTGGCTATCTTGGACAGACATGTAAGAAAGTTGAGATTAAAGAACATTGCTTTAGTGAAAGTTTAATGGAGGGGTCATCTGGTCGATGAGGTGGCTTGGGAGACCTAGCACGACATGCAGAGTCATTATCCTCATGTATTCATCACTCCAGGTAAGTCCTTATGCACGTTTAAGGATGAACGTTTGTTTTAAGAGGGAGAGAATGTAACGACCCGACCGGTCATTTTGTATAATTGTGTCCTGTTACCCTTTTTTATGCTTCACACATGTGTGTTTATGGTTTTATGACTTGCGGGGTTAGTTAGTTTCGTTCCGAGAAGCTTTCAGGTGGATTCAGACTCTTTGATTCATAGCTTAGAAGTCTAAGTTAGAAACGTAGACCATACTTTGACTTTTGTGAAAATGACCCTGGAACGGTGTTTTGATGGCTCCGATAGCTTCATATCGTGATTTCGGGCTTGGGCGTATGCACAAAATTGATTTTGGAAGTCCATAGGTTGATTTGTGTTGATTTACCGAAATTTGGCAATTTGAAGTTAGAATGTTTGATCGTGATGCTATTTAGAACTTGTCTGTAAAATTTGGTGTGGTTTGGAGTTGATTTGATAGGATCGGACATTTAGTTGTAATTCTAGAAATTCTTGAACTTTACTTTGAAATTCATACGTTTTAGAGTTCAATTTGTAGTTTTAGATGATATTTTTGTGTTTTGATCGCGCGAGCAAGTTTGTATGATATTTTTACACTTGTATGGATGGTTGGTTTGGATCCCCGAGGGCTTGGATGAGTTTCAGACATGTTTCAGAAGGTTTGAATTGAAATTGAATTGCTAGTGCTGTTGGTGCTCAAGTATCGCAATTAAGTCGACTCTGGTAAGATTTGAGCCGTGTGGAGGCAAATTTTAGGGGAAAAGCTATTTCTGAGAATTGATTGGCCTAGTTGAGGTAAGTATCTTGCCTAAATTTATGTGGGGGAACTACCCCTTAGGATTGGTATTGATAGATTCATTTTGTGCTATGTGAAAGCCATGTACGTAAGGTGACGAGTGGGTACATGAGTTGTATGTGGTATTTGACCAGTTTAGGCTACTTAAACTCCTTCTATGCCTTAATTTAATTGTAATATCATGTTCTAAATTCTAATAGGTAATCTATTCTTACTTGTGTTAGTCCATCCTTATATGCCTTAAATGATTTTTTTAACACTTGTTCTAAATCCGACTTGATAAACTGCTCTCATGCTTTAGTTGAACGTGTTTCACCTTTTATTGTTACATTCTATCTCTTCATTGTTGATTATCATTATTTGAAGTTATTGTTCATGTTATCACTTCCATTGTTGATTATCATTATTTGAAGTTATTGTTCATGTTATCACTTCCATTGTTGATTATCATTACTTGAAGTTATTGTTCATGTTATCCCTTCCATTGTTGATTTCCGTTATTTGAAGTCATTGTTGCACGTTATTTCGTCTATTGTGAGTTAATCTTATATAATATCGTAGTTATACATTATCTCTCTCATTGTTGAGCTATTTGTGTTGAAGTTGTGAAAGTTGTGAAAGCGGTTAACATGTTAAGGCAGAATTGATTGTTGAGGCATCTTTCTTGTTGAGCATTTTATATTCATTGTTGTTTTTGATATTTTTGTACTCGTTGTGGTGGAACCATGTGCTATTGTTGTGGAAATATTGATATTATTGATTATTGATAAGTTGTGATATATGGGCACTTGGGGTGCGAGTTGTTATTGTGATGTGTTATTTACGTGCATGCAGAGGTATAAGTCTTGGGGTTAATGTGTATGCGGCTGTATAAGGTGGGATATATGTTTGTGTTGCTTGTAGGGGAATCACGTGAAGCCACGCGGCGCTATAATGTGGGCTAAAGTACATGTAGCTATTTTGGAAAAACTGTTTTTAAAACCTGCACACGCGACAGTATAAGTAAAGATTGTGATTGAGAGTGTGAATTGTGAATACAAGGTAGTACCTCGGTTGTGATTCTTAATATATACACGAGGCGGTACCTCGGTTGTGAATCTTGATATATACACGAGGCGGTACCTCGGTTGTGATTCTTATTGTACATGAGGCGGTACCTCATTGTGATTCTTGTTGTTTATCTCATGTTGCAAAGGGTTTTGGTGGGAACATTTATTGTTGTTTTGTTCTTCCTTGTTCTTGCAATTGTTGTCCGTCTATGATCATTGCGGTTCTCTTTAGTTGCTTAATTTAAGTTATTTCCATGCTTAAAACTTTGGCATTAGTTCATGCCATTAACTATTTATTTATATCCTAGTAGGTGTCTTGACATGACCTAGTCACTACTCTATCGAGGTTAGGCTTGATACTTACTAGGTACCGTTTTGGTGTACTCATACTACGCTTCTGCATATTTTTTTGTGCAGATCCATGTACGTCTGCCCGTGCTGCGCGCTAGAGTTGATTTGAGTTGCTGTTTTCGGGAGATTTGAACTGTTTGATTCTATCGAATTGGTACCATTCTTGACTACTTCAATATGTGAATATTAGTTGCAAATTTTGTGGCTTAGCAGCAACATTATGTTGATGTTTGTAGTGTTGGAAACTGGAAAGTTGTAGCAGCACCAATAGTGTTGGAAACTGGAAATGTTGTCAAATTGTTTCAATACCAATAGTAGGGTTTCCATTTATTACGACAGTATTGAAGTGAAACTGTTTTACGTCTCTCAACAAATTGAATATTAGTTTCTCCAAGCAGAAGCTTCAAATA